ATTTTCACCAAAAAAAGGGTCCTCCAAGGTGGAGAAGGGAGAGGGTTGACATGTCGTGGGGTTGTTAACCAATGTCATAAAACAATATGTGTACTGACTTTTTAATGAGAAACTATTTGTTCTGTAAACCTTCATCTAAAGTACAATAAAAAAAAATAGGGTATGTGCCTGGATGAGCTCGGCATGAAGAAAATTTTAATCACTTAAAGCTATTCTTTGGCCTCGGCTCAATTCAGACGGTTTGGGGCAGACCAAGGAGTATGCTTTTTAAACTAGTACCCAAGGTTATCCTGAGGTACCAGCCAGAATGCTCCTTAGAAGTAAGGATGTAATGTTTTGTTCTGTAGTACATAAGTCACTATGAGTCGGGGCTGACTCAATGGTAGCTAAGGACAGCAGGTTATCCTGGTGTGGGTGGTCTATGGACCACTTTGATAAGTAATGAATCAAAGGCACCCTTTGTAAAAAGAATAATCATCCAGCTTATCTTTTTTGGGAATCTACATTTCCCAATGCGAAGCACTGACTTACCCTGGCAGGACATACCCTGGTGGGACCCAGAATCGTGTGCTTATACTACTGGTGTTATCTCATTCACTCTTCATAGTAACAGTTATGAGGCACACATCTTTACCATCCCCAGGTTACGTATTAGGAAACTAAGGCACAGCAAGGTTAAATCCTTTGCCTAAAGTCACCCAGGTAGGAGGTGGTGGTGGTGGGATTCAAACTCAGGCCATTTCACACCAGCGCCTGGACCATGAGCCACACGCCACACTGATTTCCCACATTTCAGTCAGTCTGGGTTTGTCTCAGTTCCCCTTTGTGACTGACTGGATCTGTAACTAGAGACTCTGACAGGAGGCCTTCACACCTGTGGCTCTGATGCGGACGCCCTCTTCCCAGGTCTGCAGGAAGGAGCTGTTCAGCCGCAGCGTGGAGGTGTTGCTCTGAAGGAGGGTTAGAGAACTTGGCCAAAATCCTCTGAGTGTGCAGGCAGCTGGAAGGGGCTCAGCCTGGAAGAGAGCATTGCCAGAGCCCGGGGGGCTGCAGTCAGGCCCAGGTAACAGGACAGGGCTTCAGGCTGGTCTCTGAGGAACGGACAGCAGGCTCCACTACTACACCGTGCCCACTGCACCGTGAGGGCAATCTCCAGTCTAGTTAGGGTTGGGCGAGCCTACACCAAGGATTCCTGAAGCAGAGCTGAGATGGGGAATTCATGTTCAGGCCATTTATTGAGAGGGAACTCTCAGGGGAAACCAGAAGGGGAGTGAGGGGAGCAGAATAGGGCAGAGAATGAAACCAGGCAAAGACATGGTTTTAGGAGGCACCAGCCTCAGCCTGATCCCATGGGGAGCTCTAGAGGGTGAACTGCGCCACAGAAATTATCTAGCTCAGAGGCAAGGGACTGGACTGTTATACCCCTACGTCTGTCAGTAACTGGCCAGCAGCCACTAGGTAATCAGGGTGGGCGTATCAGCCTTGTCAAGGGGATCTGGGTGGGACACTTGTCATCTGTGGTAGCATTTCTCCATTTCTTGTGCTCCTGTTCATCCATTCTTTCTTTGTAACAATGCCTTGGTTACCTCTAGGGCTTGCCCCTACCCTGAGCTCTGAGTGGAGTGACCCACCCCCTGGGTCAGTACTGGGCATTCGACACAGGTCTGGTCAGTCAAAATAGGGGGAAAGTTTCTGTTTGTGAGTAGTGGCCAGTGCCCTCACCTTCTCTAGCGAGGTGTCATCTAAATACCAGCTGAACATGGCCACGGGGGCATCACCTCCCATCGTGACCCCGAGCACCATGTCTTCGTCAGCACTCACTGGCCCGCAGTTCTGCTCGCAGCTGAAAGGGAGACAACCGAGTGAGGAAGGAGGCTCAGGCACCCATTACCATCTGCCTGGTCCTTTGCCCAGTTCTTCTCAGGACAAAGATGGAATAAAATCCGCCTTGCCCCAACCCCAACAGGGGCATAGCCTCTGTCTTGAAGATGGAGAGACTCCCGCCCTGGCTGAATTCCTATTTTCCTTCACTGCACAGGGTAATGCATGGAAAGCACAAGAGACTGAGACAGGAACCCTGGGTTTAAATTCTGCCCCTGCTACTTAAGAGTGTCCACACTGGCCCAAGTCACTAAACTGTCTGAGCTTCAGTTTCCTCACCTGCAAAATGACAGGTATTTCTGTGGTTCTTTCCAGTTCTAATAGCAATAAACCGGTACTGTGGTATTAGAGCATGCCACAGTGCATAAATGACTTCCACTATTACTGGCTTACAATAACCCTATGAGTGACAAATTAGAATCCCCATATTACAGATAAGCAAACTGGGCTCACGGAGCTTATGTACTTTGCCCACACTTCACCCAGACTCTGAGTAAACCTGCAGGATATGCTAGGGTTGTTTTGTACCAGAGATTTGCACCTGGGGAACGGGCAGGCGTATAGCAGGATGGGGGGGGGGGGTCAGGAGTCTGTAAAGCCCCAGGAGGATGTCCAAGGCAGCTTTGTATTCTTCTCATCCTCCCATCTCTGCTTGAGCCCCAGCTCCTGAGGGGAGCCTTCCCTGAGCCCAGCCTGGGAAGTTGTCATAGAAGCATACTCTTTCCTGTCATCCATTTGTGTGAATCATTGCCCATCACAGTTAATAGCCCCTGTGAGAACTGAGACCTGTCTGGCTTTACCCACCACTGGAAGTGGTGCCAGCCTCAAACTGGCCCTCAGGAAATGTTGAGTGAATGAATGTCTATACAGGGGGAGTTTGCTCACATGCCCACCTGACCCGAGGCCTGAGTTCCAGGGGCGCGGACACATATAGGCACTGCTCCTCCCTGTCCTCTAGCTTCTGACCTCTCCGGACAGCCAGGCTCAGGGTCACAGCAGAGTCTGGCGGTGGCAGGCAGGAGGGTGGGACCACCAGCTCCCTCTGGTCTGTGCTGAGTAGCCGCCTCTGAACACAGTCGCTCCACTGAGCCCAGCAACGCCCTGAGAAACAAGGATGGACAAACCCGATTATTCACCAGGGGCTGGGAACCCACAACTGGACACACTAGGCCAACTTCTTGTTTTGGGTTTTTAGAAGAAATGGGCCATGGGCAAGAAAATAGGCTCCAAACAGAGATTTTGACTTTTTTTAAAATTTCACTTGCAGGTTACAGGAATGGCTTTGCTGGAGGATGCTCCTGGGAAAATGACCCATGCCTCACCCAGACTCGGAGTAAGGCTGCAGGATATGCTAGGATCATTTTGTACCAGTGACTTATACCTGGGGAACAGGCAGGTGTACAGCAGGAGACGGGACCAGGAAGATATAAAGCCCCAGGAGAATACACAAGGCAGCTTCTTACCCCTAGTGTAATTCTCACTCCATACTTTGGGGACCTGAGAAGTTGTACCTCCATTTGGGAGGCTCCTATGTCATTTCCTGCTACAGGTTACCAACTCCATAGTCTCTGTATCTTTTGCCTCTGTTAACTGATGTTTATCCGTCAATCACCTCACCCTTCTCCCCTGATATGACAGTCATGCACAGGATATATCCAAGAGTCAGTTTCATAAGCTCAATTACCTAAACTCTATATGTGTACCAAAACCAAACCCACTGCTGTTGAGTCAATTCCAATTCATAGTGACCCTATAGGACAAAGTGGAACTGCCCCATAGGGTTTCCAAGGCTGTAAATCTTTACAAAAGCAGACTGTCATATCTTTCTCCCACGGAGTGGCTGGTGGGTTCAAACCACCAACCTTTCATTAGCAGCCAAATGCCTTACCCACTACACCACCAGGGTTCCTCTCTATATGCGAATCCTCTATTAATTCAGATAGTGAGAACTAATATTTGGCAGAATGGCCTAACCATTTGGCAATCAATATCAAAAGCTTGAAATTCTGCATGACTTTTAACCCAGTTATTTAATTTTTAGAAATTTGTTTGTGAGAATAACCACAGATGTGAGTAAAGACTGAACTAAAAATGTTCATTACAGTGGTTTTTATAAGAACAAAAAATTTGAAACAACATAAATGTCCAAAAGTAGGGCACTGGTAAATCAACTTGACAGTCTACTATACAGCTATTATAAAAATCAAGTTGGAGAAGATGATATCATGACATTAAAATATACAGGACATATTGTTAAATGAAAAAAAAGGATGTCAAAAATAATATGTACAATATGAATGACATTAATTTTATTTCTGAAAGAATGTGTGTGGAGTACGTGTGTGTTATATGTGTTATGTTATGTGTGTGGAGATAGAAAAATATACCCCTGTAAAAAGAAGGACACCCATTTCTAAAATATGAAGGCAATTTTGGCATACCAAGGGGGTGGGGGTGAAAGGGAGGAGTATTTTATTACTGAAGTTGTTTAAAATTGCCAGCGCATGGTGATAATAAAGAAGTCTGACTTCTAGTTGGTTTTATTACGGTTTTTAAATTCTCTACAGATAACGCCTCCCCTTACTGTGTCCACTCAGTGTCGATCAATCCCACAGCCACTGCCTGCCCACCCTTGGTTTGCCACTGCTTCCGCCCACCTCCCAGATTGCAGTAGAATTTGCTAGCACTTCTTAGTGAGATTGGACAACTTCAAATATTCTAAAAGCACCTACCACATGACCATTGGAAGTGTAAATTCTTGTCATTGTCCGGCCAGCCCAGAGTCACTGTCGTGAAAGGATCCACATATCGACCAGGTTCAATGTATACCTCGATTTTCCCTTTCTCTTTCTGCAGAAAAAGCAGTCGGCTGATGAGGTGACCTTCAACAGTTAGCCCAGCCTACTGTGGGGTGCTACTGGCACTCTGCCTCTCCACTCCAGAGCATCTGTGCCAAGAATGGCCACAGTGAAAGGCATAGAATGGAGATAGACCAAATCTGATCCACCTGGCTTCCCCTCAAGGAACATGGAGTCGCTGTGTAAGTAACCTGAGTCAGGATGTGTGCTCAGTGCTATGCGCCCACTATGCAGTCAGTTGTGTTAACAGAGCCTGCTCTGGGCCAGGTGCTGTGCTTAATGCCTCAAGATACAGGAATAAACAGACCTGTTCCCTACACAAACGGGCAAATGTTGTGTGATCACGCCACTTACATGAAATATCTAGAATAGGCAAATGCATACAGACCAAAGTTTATCAATGGTTACCAAAAGCTGGGGAAGCAGAAAGTAGGGAGTTATTGCTTAAGAAGGGCACAGACTTTCTGTTTGAGATGATATAAAACTTTTGTAAATGGATAGTGATGATGGTTACACAACATAGTGAATGTAATTAATGCCACTAAATTGTTGTCGTTTTTAGGTGCAGTTGAGTCAGTTCTGACTCATAGCGACCCTATGTATAACAAACGAAACACTGCCCGGTCCTGTGCCACCTCACAGCTGTTATGCTTGAGCCCATTGCTGTAGCCACTGTGTCAGTTCATCTCATTGAGGGTCTTCCTCTTTTTTGCTGACCCTCTACTTTACCAACCACGATGTCCTTCTACAGGGACTGGTCCCTCCTGATAACATGTCCAAAGTATGTGAGACAAAGAATCTCCATCTGCTTCTAAGGAGCATTCTGGCTGTACTTCTTCCGAGACAGATTTGTTGGCTCTTCTAGCAGTCCATGGTATATTCAATATTCTTTGCCAACACCGTAATTCAAAGGCATTAATTCTTCTTCGGTCTTCTCCATTCATTGTCCAGCTTTCACATGCATTTGGGGCAATTGAAATCACCATGGCTTGGGTCAGGCGCACCTTAGTACTCAAAGTGACATCTTTGCCTTTTAACACTTTAAAGGGGTCTTTTGCAGCAGATTTGCCCAATGCAATGTGTCATTTGATTTCTTGACTGCTGCTTCCATGGGCATTGATCGTGGATCCAAGTAAAATGAAATTTTTGATAACTTCAATCTTTCCTCCATTTATCATGATGTTGCTTCTTGGTCCAGTTGTGAGGATTTGTTTTCTTTATGTTGAGGTGTTATCCATACTTGAAGGCTCTACTCTTGGATCTTCATCAGTAAGTGCTTCAAGTACTCTTCACTTTCAGCAAGCAAGGTAGTGTCATCTGCTTATCATAGATTGTTAATGAGTTTTCCACCAATCCTGATGCAACGTTCTTCTTCATGTAGTCCGGCTTCTCGGATTATTTACTCAGCATAGAGATTGAATACGCATGATGAAAGGATACAACCCTGATGCACACCTTTCCTGATATTGAACCACACAGTATCCCCTTGTTCTGTCTGAACAACTGCCTCATGGTCTGTGTACAGGTTCCTCATGAGGACAATTAAGAGTTCTGGAATTTCCTTTCTTCAAAATGTTATCCATAATTTTTTATGATCCTCACAGTCAAATGCCTTTGCACGGTCAATAAAACACAGGTAAACATCTTTCTGGTATTCTCTGCTTTCAGCCAGGAGCCATCTGACATCGGCAATGATATTCCTTGTTCCATTCATGAATTTCTGGCAGTTCCCTGTAGATGTACGGCTGCGACTGCTTTTGAATGATTTTCAGCAAAATTTTACTTGTGTGTGATATTAATGATATTGTTCGATAATTTCCATATTCCATTGGATCACCTATCTTTGGAATGGGCACAAATACGGATCTCTTCCAATCGGTTGGCTAGGTAGCTGTGTTCCAAATTTCTTGGCATAGATGAGCAAGCACTTTCAGTGCTGCATTCATTTGTTGAAACATCTCAATTGGTATGCCGTCAATTCCTGGAGTTTTGGTTTTTGCCAGTGCCTTCAGTGCAGCTTGGACTTCTTCCCTCAGTACCATTGGTTCTTGATCATTTGCTACCTTCTGAAATGATTGAACATCGACCAATTCTTTTTGGTACGCTGACTCTGTGTATTCCTTCCATCTGCTTTTGATGCTTCCTGTGTCATTCAATATTTTGCCCATAGAATCTTTCAGAATTGCAACTCAAGGCTTGAATTTTTTCTTCTGTTCTTTCAGCTTGAGAAATACCAAGTGCGTTCTTCCCTTTTGGTTTTCTAACTCCAGGTCTTTGCACATTTCATTGTAAGACTTTGTCTTCTCAAGCCACCCTTTGAAATCTTCTGTTCAGCTCTTTTACTTTATCATTTCTTCTGTTCAATTTAGTTACTGTACATTCAGGAGTAAGTTTCAGAGTCTCTTCTGACATCCATTTTGGTCTTTTCTTTCTTTC